AACGCCCCCAACCCCGGCAGCCCGACTCTCCCACTCGGCACCCTCTTCGGCCCGGCCCACTCCTCGCCCTGACCGGTCATGGGCTCTTCCAGGCCATCGCGTGCTTGATGGACATGAACGCGCTGCTGGACCGATTCCATAACTACATCCTCCCGCACCTGCGGGGCGAGGACCGCGTCTGCCACTGCAACTGTGGCCGGTGAGTGCGCCCCGGCTCTAGGCACTACACGCGTGATCACACTTGTGCAGCGGGCCCCGTTCAGCTGGTGAGCCGGGAGCAGACTGGGCCGCAGAGCCCAAAGCTAAATGGTGGGGGCCGCTTCTGCCCGCCAGGTGCTGGGGGAGGGGTTGCCAACGGGAACCCCAGATCAGCCAGCTGTCTCTCTGGGAAAGGAAGCATGACTGAGTCTGTTAGGGACCCTTTCCTCCAGTTCTTTAGAGAAAAGGCTGCCTGGTGGTGGCATTATGGGCCATGGAGCCTCCTAGTTCAGGGCCTGGAGGCCTGAGAGCTGCAGCCCTGAGTGGTGCCCACAGAGGAAGACAGGAAGCTGATTAAGCCTGGGACAGTAGTCTTGCCTATGACCCAAGTCTTCCTCTTGGGTCCCCTGTGCCCACGGCAGGCAAGTGTAGGAGGTGAAGACAGAAAGAAAGGGCCTACCTTAAGGAACACCTGCCACAACTGGTCGTGTGCAGGGAGGAACTGAAGTAGGCTGAGGTTTGTTCAAGGTCACAGTGAGACCCACCACACCCTTCAGGGACCTCCCCTTCGGTGCATGTGTAGTGATAAAGTCTTCTGGCCTTGCATGTTTGTACGTCCATGTATGAAATAAACATCTTCTCATGAGCCGCGCATGTGTGTACTGTCTGTGCATATACATGTGCGTACACAGCGCACTCGTACATCCGCATGCACTCATCCCAGAGATGCCCTCATGCGATAACCGTTGTCCCCGCGGGGAAGACCAGGAGGACGTGGACGGAGGTTTTGGAGGTAGACTTGCCCAAGGTTACACAACTAGGAAAGAACGGGGCTAGAATCACAGATGCTCACTTCCTCGCCCCACCCCATGCTTCCAGAAGTCTGCACACACAGGGCCTAGGGTAGGTCAGGACAGGTGCATGTCTCCTAAGTGCATATATGAGTACAGGCAAGTGTGCGACAGATCATGGTCATTACAGCAAGCAGAAAGGGATGTACACGCGTACACGCCCTCACATGCGTTGGACATGGTAGGAAAATTTGCCGTGTGCCCACACATTCCCAGAAAGCCCTGTCCTTCATCTTTGGCATATCATGACGGCACAGAAAGGACATGAGGTTTCCAGGGCATGTCTGTAGGTGAGTCCCGGAACCTTCCCAAGACAGAATCCACATCCTGGGCCCAGTCACCGGACCCATGAACACTGGGAATGGACGCTACGTATGGGGGCTGTTACAATGTGTTTGGTTCAGCGCTGTCCATGACAGCACACTGAATGGTTTACCTGAGCACAGAGGGTGTGTTCTTAGAGCACGTTTACATAGGTTACATATGTGCATCTCATGTAGCATCCAGAGTACTTGTGGACTCATGTAAACAGACACCTGTAGAGTGGAACCTGAAGAGAGGCCTGTGTGTGCAAAAACGTGGAGAGCCACATCCTCCTGTGGACAGTGTTTCTGCGTGTGTCTCTCTACATGTATGTGCTTTGTACACAACTCTACATACAGGGTATGTAAATTGGTTGTACAAAGCACTTTTGTATATTGATTGCATATATGTGTATGTAAAGTACATGTATATAAAACAATATACAGTTCAGTGTGCTCAGGGAACATGTCAGAACATCTCAGCGTGGGTGCAGTGGTGGCAGATTAGTTTGTAAATGGGTTATCTGTGCACATATCATGTACACACGTGGTGTCAACAGTTTGCCTATGTGTACATACTTTGCAGAATAACTGTATACATGTGTCTGCCTAGTACATGACTATCTGCAGAATTTTAGACAGAGAACATATATGTAAACTAATGTTCTGAACAAAGCACGCCAGCAGGCAACCTTTGTGTGTACACACAGATCCATGCACATGACAGCATCCCACAGAGAGAGGGTGGCTGGTTCAAAGCTGGGTGAATGTGCATCTATGTGTGACGCACCATGCTCATACCCGAAGTGTGCACAGTGCATGGGTGTGGGGCTTGTGGGGCCCGTGTCCGCAGTATACACGCCATGTCCTGTGCATGCGGACAGCGTGTATACTGGACACACAGTGACCTCAAGTGGACACATGGCAGCATGTGTCATGAAGGTAGAACACATGTATGTATATATCACAGACATTCATCCTGCTTTCATTCAGAAGACCTATGCCCCTGCCTTCAGGGACTTGGTGTGGGGTCAGGAGAAGTCAGCCCAGAGGAGGAGGAATTGTAGATACCCACGTTAACTGTAAGGGCACAGGTCATAACCTCTAACCCCTGGACTCCTGAGGCCCTGGGTTATATGGGACCCCCACCTTGGCCTACTTGTAAGCTACCTAGATTTCTTCTTGCTTCCTTGGTAGCTTCTTCGTGTTTCTTTTCCTGGAACAGTTACATGTTGGGGGCAGTTCAGAGGAAGGATGTGGAGGCCCAGGCTGACCCAGCCCCCACCAAAGCCTGTGACATTCCCCCATGGTCTGGAAGCACTTGCGCCCCCAGGGCCTGGTGCAGCCATACTTTTGTGCCAGGATCAATAGCGTCCATCCATCATGATGATGGACAGAGGCTGTGCATGAGATGAGCGATGGCTGCCAGGTGTCAGTCATAGTAGCTCCAGTAAACCAACTGAGGGCTGGCAGCCTAAGCTTTGCCTGTGGGGCTTGGCCAAACTATAGACCACAGAGTTAGCCCCTGGACTTCTAAGAAGATCAGAAGAGGACTTGAGGAATATCACTATTGCCCCTTCCTCTCCCTGCTCACCTGGGCTCGGGTTTAAGGATATCAGCCCCACTGTGAGGAAGCATCCATGTGACCCCTACTGGGGCCAGGGATATCAGCAAATGGGCACAAGAGAGGAAAGAGTTTTTATCTGGGGAAAGGCTGAGGGTCTACTCTAGGCAGGCTTGGGTTCCAGCCTCTCACTGAGAGGAGGAAGAGGTGCAAGTTTAGGAAGCCAGAAGCTATTTTCAGCATGCATTTGAGGTGTCTGTAGAGCCCACGTGGAGACTCTAAGGCAGCTGGAGCTCCTAGCAGACATGGTGGGCAGTGGAAAGAAGGCCCACCCACTAGTGGCTCTGGAAGTAGGTGGGCCAGGAAAGGCAGCCTGATAGCAGCAGCCCGGGCAGCCCTTACACTGTCAGGAAGACCCCAGTGGTACTCTCGACATCTGGACTGATGGCTTTGTGGGGTTGGACACCTAGAACGACAGACAGGACAGAAGGACTTCCTCTTGGAAGTCGAGTTCAGACATCTCTGAAAGGGGGATCAGCAGCCAGGAGGAACCATACTGGAACTCAAGTGCAAGCTGAGAGGGTCGAGGGCATGAAAGCAATGGACAGGTTCAAGAAACCTAGGACAGGGAAGCAAAGAGGCACAGAGACCAGGGCCACAGTGGGTGCTTATACTTAGAAGGCTCTAAAACCTGTCTAGCATGGACCTGAAAACGGCCCAAAGTGGACGATAGACATGTGGGTCTGTGGTGGCCATGAGTAAGGAAGGAAAGACTCCCAGAACCTCCAGCAAAATGAGCAGGGGGTGGTAGATATTGAAAGCCCAAGGCAGAGATTGTGGAAGAGCAAGATCAAACACTGTTCCTGTAGGTGGCCTCCTGAGAGCAGCATGTGGTCTGGTGGGCCTGGGTTACTGGGCTGTGCTAGGACCGTGGCTGACCCTCAGAGCCAGTAGGTAAATCTGAACCCTGCTACAGGACTTTTGGAAGGATGGCGTGTTGGGTGGAACACCAGTCGTTCTTACTCTCCTTGAACCTCACTCCTTACCTCCAGGGCTACAGTTCTGCCAGGTGGGGAGGGAGTGCTGTTTCCCCTCCCAACCCAGCACACAGGGATTGCTCCAGAGAACTTCCCAGGGTGGCCCATAGGAGCCAAGTCATCCACTTTGGGTCCCCTAACCAGCCCAGCACGGACCTGGGGAAGGCTGGGCCAGGGTTGGCAGGAGAGGTGCCAGCCCGCCCTGCCGCCCCCAGGCACCACATCCACTACGTGATCCCGTACGACGGGGACCAGTCGGTGGTGGACGCATCTGAGAACTACTTTGTGACAGACAATGTGACCAAGCAGGAGATCGACCTTATGCTGGGGCTGCTTCTGGGCTTCTGCATCAGCTGGTTCCTGGTGTGGATGGATGGTGTCCTGCACTGTGCCGTGCGCGCCTGGAGGGCTGGTCGGCGCTATGGTGAGTGCCTCGCGCTGCTGCGGGCACCACTTCTGGCCCAGCCCGGCCACCTGACTGCCCTGTCCCCCTGCAGATGGCTCGTGGACCTGGCTGCCCAAGCTGTGCAGCCTGCGGGAGCTGGGCCGGCGGCCGCACAGGCCCTTCGAGGAGCCCACAGGGAACATGGTGCACGTGAAGCAGAAGGTCTACCACAACGGCCACCCCAGCCCACGGCACCT